TTGCCTAACCATAATTTGACGCTACTGTTTATTTCCATCACGGTTTTTTGTTTCCTCTGCTTTTGCACATATTTACATAATGCCATTCTACGTTCCTTCTTCTGACACAGCTGCAGATATAAAAATGTCTCTTTTCCTCACAGTTTATAAATCGCTGGATGTTTTGATAAACCCTCAGTCACAGACTGTCCCCACAAATTGTTGCCGTAAAGACAGTAAAGTGACAAAGTATGTTTTGTTTTGGGATTACAATTAGACTTGGTGCTGTGCTATTGTGGATATATATATTGTTTTACGCTAGGAAACGAACCCTCTCGTCAGACATCAATTATGAAATGTTCAGCGCACGTCTGGTCCTATAAATCTTCATTTAACTGTGCATTGCTTTTCTGTCAGACTTCCGACCTCTTTTGCATTGCTCTCTGGCTCTGTTTTGCCAAGTGTTGTCTTTTTCTTTGTATTTTATGTCACTGATATATGTTTCTGCCCGATCCGTTCGCGCTGCTTTTTAATCTTCTTCCTGTTGCATTGTCACTTTTTATTATTCTTGGCCCAGTTTTAAATTCCACATTTCAAATTTAAACTATGTTTTTACTAAAGATACAGTGGGTATAACGATAATTAATATCCTAAAGTTTGATGTAATATATACAGTATATATGTGTATATACACTTGTATATACATATATGTATATATAAAATATATATATACAGTATGTATATATATACACACATATATGTACATATATTTATATATAAACATATTTATATACATGTGTATATATATATACATATATGTATATATAATATATTTGTTGACTTTTGTCAACTTTGATGAAACCACTAATATCCACCAACCAAGATATATATACATATATGTATATATATCCAGCTGAGTCCAATCAGCTGATTAAATCTTAAACACAAATGAAGTTAAATATTGAAAGTCAATAGAACCCTTCATAATGTTATACTCCATTCATTGTTCATCACAAATATCTATTAGAAATGTTTAATTTGTCGTTGGCCTACAGACAAATCTGTATCCAATCAAACTTGGTTGTGACTTCCTTTGAACCATACCATTTCATTCATTTAACTGTGGGGTACAGTGGCACCTAGGCAATCAGGTAAGATTGCAGTCAGGTGTGAGATTAACCAGTTACATCAAACTGGTCTTAGTGATCATCATTTTCATATATAAGGTACCGTGCAAAACCTTTAGACAGATGTGGAGGGGGAAAAAGTACTAAAAGTTCAAAGTTAAGAGCGCAGAGGAGAAATCTAAATCCAATCACTGCTGGGTTAGAAATGCAGCCCTGGTAGTTTCATCTCATTTTTCATTTTGAAATTAGTAAATAAATTATGGTAAATAAAATTTCTGAAACAACACGGAAGCCTTAAAATTGCAGGAGGATAAGGTGTAGAGCAAGCAACGGTTGTGGAATCGATAACGCTAACATGTGCCCCGGCATACACCAAGGCAGATTCAAGCAACAGAAAGGGTCGCTACTGATGAAAGATCAGACAAATCAAACGAAAGATCAAGATCAAACAAAAAAAGAGAGAAATACAAAAGAAATAATGATAGACTTCTCTTTCAAAATCACAATGGCTGAGAGACGCAAGTAGAGCAGCCATTAAGTAAAACTTCTACATATAATTATTCCTGCTTCCTCCCACTCCTGCCTAAACTTTTGCACAGTACTTCAAAACCCTACTACTTTGATGAGCACTTGGTTGGAGTCAACATGGTACATTTTGAACTGGCATTTTTGACCCACTTCTGCTTAAAATACCACCCAACATTAGTGGTAATGTTCTCAGCAAAGCTCTTTCAAGGCCACACCACAGGATAATGGTCTACATTCTGACAACGAAGCTTTTATTTGACTACGTTTGAAGCCATCCATGGGTTGGTTTGGATGGATTCTGAAATGAGGATTTTTTTTTCATTTATTTTATTTCTCATTTAGCTTCCGTGAAGACACAGGATTTCTTTGTAA